CAATATCATCTGATCTGAAATAGACTGCATCTGTATGCACCAACTTTCCATTTTGAGTTGATCATGTATGTGATAGTGTGACCTACCTGAAGAACATGCTTTGTATCGTAGGATCTGAAATAGACTGCATCTGTATGCACCAACTTTCCATTTTGAGTTGATCATGTATGTGATAGTGTGACCTACCTGAAGAATAGAACATGCTTTGACTAGGCTTTTATCTAGTAACGCATGATCTTTCCATAAAATTTCTTGTACAGTCGCCGTTCTTGTCTTTCATTTCAGAAATTTCACTAAATATCAGGTGTCTTTCTAGAGGCTAGTTATCATATCCTGGTCCTGTTCAAGTCGGAAGTAGTGTGATCCAAAGTTAGCCTGAACTTTTAGGAAACTTTGTAAACTGAGTCTCTCAGAAACACCCTTGAAGAGTTTTCGATCCTTCGGCAATCTTTTTGCTGGTCGTTCACACATGGTAAAGCATAGATCTTCTGGCGACACGCAAACGTAATAAACTTGTCGGAAACACTTTTGCGTGCGCGCAAATGGAAAACACGCGGCAAGTTCACATTTTCTCACATGGAACTCTTGAGAAAGGTTAGGTTTATATGAACGGAATAGCTTCGCCAAAAAAAACAACTTCCTTGATTATCTAAATTTCAAAACAAACTCAACCCGGCTCAGAACATCATACGATAACATACGATAAATATTTTAGGTAACGAAACTAAAGTACTTTATCAGCGGGATACATGTGACACATTCTAAGCCCGTTGGCTGCGCCCAGAATTTTTTTACATGCAATTGACTCTTCACTGGTCAGCATGGCGCCGATCCAAATTTGTGTTGCAGATTCCTTGCAGATAATTCCTCTATTTGCGCCGTTGATTATTTTATGGTGGATGTAGGGGATTAGACATGTCAAACTTAGTGATTCGCAAATCCTTGATAACCACTCTAATTAGGGACCCGGAAGAAGCGCTTTTGATGGGAGGTCGTGTTTTGTTTTAAATTGCTGGAACTATGCAGGACGAATGGTTCATGTTTATGGGTAATGCGAATCAAATTCCATCTAAGTTGACAATGCAAATTATACCAAAAATCCTATTGGTCTTATGTACGAAAAGGTCTTTCGTTCGCAAGGTTCGAATAGTTATTTTTGCTTGGCGAGAATTGTGAGCTTTACCATACCATTCACTTGAGCAAGTGCGAAACCACAAATTATAAGCCCTTTTGTTTCATTACTGTCAGGGCGCGCCCAGACAGAAGAAAAAGCACAAGTGCACAGAGTGACGCATCCCCAAGGTCACCATGGCTTCGACACGTCCGGAAAGTAGGTGAGTCGGCGGCGCCAACTAAACACGGCCTAGCAACACACGACCAGCGTGGTGGGCCTGAGAATGTTCACGACCGGACCACTACCATTGGCTCTACGGAGCGAAGTGAACCACCATATTTGATTTATTAGGCATCCTATATATTTACGCAGACGCTCTGTACGTTTTGTCCTGGCAATACAGCCGTGTCCCCAGTTCTCTGTCTTCTCCCTATCGCGTAGTCTGGCAGGCGCGGTGCAGGCGTAACCCCATAGCTCGGCCACCGCACAATACAACAATTACTAGTCGCATGCAGTTGAATGCTTGAAAGACCACAATAGAAATTTATTTTTTAAATATGGCTCACCCGGATTTGCCGCATTTAAGATACACCTGTCTTGGCATTCCGTTTTTTGTACCGTATGCCGAATCCGCAGTGCGATACCTAGGTAGAGCTCAGATGCTCTTATGCTATGTTGCTGTATTTATATTTCTACTCTAATTATTTTTCTGAAATTCAGTTCATTTATTTTAATTTTTGTAAAGAACAAATTACAACTGCTACGCTGATGAAGAGGTAGACACTAAATAATAGTAAAAACGAGATCATTTCAAAAGGGCTTGCAGAAACGCTTTGGTGCCTTTTCGTGTAGCTAAAAATTTGGACTTTAAACGTTTCATCCCCAGATGAAGTGTGGGGTTGAGTGGGTTAACCACCCGATCCATTAATATCCCGCAGCTTGCAGAAATAATCAAAAGACGCTAAGAAAACAATACGAGAAGTCACTTGCTAAAGGAAGAAACACTGTTCTGGAGGATGAAATGTGTTGGAGTCTACCAAAAATGATTTTCTGTTCTCGTATTCGCTAACAGCGAATGGCTTCCGGAAAAAAGATCACACCAGAACAGCGAGACATTGAACTGTCGAATTTATTGCTGTAGGATCTTTTTGCCTCCTTGATTGGAGTCCATGTAATTTCGTCTGCACTTAGTTGGAAACTTTGAAGTTCGTGACGCACAACTAATGCAACTGACGAGTATGCTTTCATCTACTAATTGGACTGCTTATCTCTTGTTGGTTCTGTCACGTGCACTGTTTTTGAGCGCCGTAAAATTCGCGAAGAATGTTGGCCTAACAGGCTGGTGATACTTCACTCCAGCTCAGCGGTCGGAAGTTTTTAGTTGATTATTCTTTGATAGCCTGGGCGCTTTTCCCTTTCACCCTTTCTGCGAACGAAGTTTGGCTTATACCTATACCCACTCCTTCCCACTTCATTTCTTCTCTTGAATAAGGAATGTTTCTTTACATCTAAGATTTTTAAGCACCAGAATTTATAACTAAGGCAAACTTCTGGGAGTTTAAATGCGTAAAAATAGGGGAAAGATGCGCACGCGACCAGCACCGCTGCAATACGGCTCGACTAAACGCAGTCAAAGCAATATGCGTGGTTTTTGTTTCCACATTGAATTCGAACATTATGTGTCAAAGTACATTCAGGTAGTGTTAACGACCATTGTTGTTAAAACGCACGAAAAGCCTTTATGGTTCTTTCGACTACAATCCAGAGTGAAGGTGATCGATTCAACCAAGTACAACTGGTTCACACCTTATACCCTGATGATGTTTTGATACAATTTCTCACCCATAATTTATTATTAGTTGAATGCGAATTATTGAGAAAGTACAACTTCTCTGACTGAGTTGCATGCTGTTATCAATGCCATTGTTGTTTTTACTAACTCGCCCACAATGCTATGGTTATTTTTTTCCTGCATTTGTCCGGTCACGCTTTACAAGATTTATTACGTATCGCTTTTAACTATTTCAGGTGTGATTAGAAAAATGAATTCAAAATGACAGTATTTTAGGAATATAAACTTGAAATTCTAAATTGTAAACTTTTCGGGTGTAACATGTCTTCAAGCTTACTGGGATGTAGGTCTGTTTTGAGGTTTTTTTGCCAATGATAGTTAATTGATCTGAATGCCCAAGGACACGGCTACCACAAAGATATACTTTGGTATTTTCCAAGCCTGAGTAGGTCAGTAAACTGATTTGTTGTGAAAACAGCTTGGAGAATGCGTTTCACACTAGTTGGCTTGAATAAGTTCTTAAGTTAACTCTATATGTAGGCTTTATGACATGTCGTATTTTCCTGCCAGACGGCGTATTTCACTGGGCGTTGGTATCCATTAAATTCTTTTCTTGGACGTGACAACAGTCATGGTACTGATGCAAATCCACTAGCGGCACTCGCTCGTTTCACTTTTTTCAATTTTCTTTGTTCATTGTCATGCAAAACTAAAATACTGGAATAAACTGCGGAAGTAAAATTTTCCAAGCCATTTTAAGTTAATGGTTTGACATTTTGATCAGCATTCAATACAGGCTTTGTCTAGTTAAGAATTGCGTGGTAGGGATCAAATGTGTGCATCGTAATTACATGACCATGGAGTTATCCGCGTCTATTTTAGCGACAATGAAATTAACTACGCGCTTTTCTCTGATGTCTCGGGAAGACTTTCACTTCTGAGCAAGAAGCCAGCTATCAGGGATGTGAAATTCTGCCCGTAAATGCTGCCTGATAAAAATCAGTCACGGTATTTTGCCTGGGTGCATTCAGTATTCATGATAATGCTGAACAGAAGCAGTTTATTGTTGGTAGCATACAAAGCTTTTGGAGATTTCAGCCTGAGAGTTTAATCTGTGCTTAGAAGGCGAAAAGGTTTATTGAAAATCATTGTCAAAACTTTCCGGTCAGTAGTTTGAACACAATCACTCAGCCAATAGCGCCTGATCAACAATGTGTTAGCAACTGATTAGGTTATAGCGACACTCACATTTCAATTACGAAATCCGAATCGTGTGATGAAACTTTGAAAGTCGGTTTTGCTAATGACTTTATCGATGTATGTTTCGAATATCGACTGAGATTATCCTCATTGTGGGCTATATGTAGGTGGCTGATTGTAATGTTCAAGCAGTCCTAGAATGTTCAAATAGAATGTCCAAGTATTCGTTAAGTAAACCTAAACAAATTTTAAAAAAGATAGAATCAGTAAACATTGTGATGGTGTACACGGATAACATAAACGCACCTTAGCACCAGATTATATGATGATTGCTCACATTTTCAAGCTAAATAATTGTGTAACTTAAATCCTCCATTTGGTTTTTAGGTATACTTTGGACGACATCACTCTGACAAGTAGGTTTCTTCTCACCGATTCATAAAACGGACTGATCAAACCTTTTATAGCATGTTTTCTGACTATAAAACGTCAGCGCAGCGGCCGCACTGCAAGTGTATAAATCCAGGCGAACCGGCGTACGTTGTGAATTTTAGTTCACTGGGAGAACATAACGTATAATTATTGTTTATTGAATGTTATCCCGGCTAGATCATAGTGACATGCGGAGTATATAAAGCATTCGGTAGTTTAGGGGCTTCGAATGTGTGAAACGAAATCAATCCATAAAAGTGCTCTTCATCCAATTGCTTAATAGGATTTAAATCTTACCAAGACACTGGTGGCTAGTATCAAAGTGTCCGGGCATTCCACACCTATGAATAAAGAATTGTGTCAATTAAACATGTTGTACAAATTTGTACAAGGCCTAATAGCGTTTCGTATATAACTTTAGAACAAATTAAGCAGTGTTGTTAGAGGGGTTGGCAAACAATATCAATCCCAATTCTCTGTTGCTCATACAAATAGAAGGAGCAGTTTTGTTCAGAGCCATGCAAGTCAGTATTTGTGAAATAGTGGCAATAATGGCAATTAATTTTTTTTTTATATAATCAGATAAGATGTGAGCAATAATGCAATTAATTTTTTTTTTATATAATCAAGATAAGATGTTTATTGCCGTCATGATTGAATCAGTAGGCTGATCGTCAGTAACCTTACAAAGTGATATGGCTTAATTCTTTGTACATGTGTGTCTGGAATTCACGGGCACAGGTCTTGTGCAATTGGTCAGTGATCATGGGGCGAACGGGAAGCAAAACACTGTAACAGTACACGAAAATGCAGGTGGCCTATAAATACATGCATTTTCACTGTTGGCTCAAGTCGACATTTGAAGGTAAACTACGGAAGATAGACCTGCCTGCAGTGTTTTCAAGGTATGTCAATCACGTCTGTTTATTACTCATTCTTTATTTGTTAAACAATGTCTAACTATAATCACGGAAAATGTCAGATATCAGTTATCTGTGCGCCTCATCAAGATAGCAGTCTAGGATTAAATTATCACAAGTGTCACAAAATGCTTCCATAGGTCGAAACTGGAATCAACCATGTAGTTCCGTATATCATAATGTCAAATTTCATCTCTCCACGCAATGAAGTATTTCCCAAAATGGAAAACCTACTATGTAGGCTATTAGCAAAACGTAGGAAAAACTTCTGCACCTGAGTGGTATCCATTTTTACCGTCAATCATCTCTACTGCTTACGAAGTCACTCAGTCAGATCAAACTACTAGAAATAAAAGTTCAACCAGGGAAGCCAGCAATTATATCTCATGTTCCCAGTAATAAAAAGATATTAATCTGTGTTTCCGGCAAACCAGGAAACTTGGGCTAAGCGATGCGATTCGACATACATTTTATTTTAACTGTAGTGCAGTCTATGGCCTAATAAACGAGGTTTACATCACAGAAGCAATGGTCCCAGATTATTTTATGTTTTCTTTTCTTTTGCCCACTGAGAGCCTGAGAAGAATTTATGTTCTTTGTGTTGTGTATACTGGTTATATATTGGGTTCATGATGAATGTATTAGCATGGATAATTGAAAGCTTTTCACAGCTGATAATGCTATGGTTACGGTATGCGCTTACTGGTATGCTAGAAATATCCCAAGTTCCAGAGAGTCTGTGGGAACACGAAAGGTTCTTATACTTTTTGTTGGCATTGTCAAGTTCCAACTTTACGGTCCTGAGGACAATCATCCAAGGCTTGATAGGATCTTGGGAGAACCCAAGATGTGGTAGCTGTGTGAAGTGGCTC